GTTCCTAACAGGCCACAAACTGGTACCATGGGGGGTTCACTATTAATTCAGGGGTTGAGGACCCCTGACTTAAAAGACAGAGTTCAGGCTAGGCATGGTGGCTCATGCCTATAATCCCAGCACTTTGAGAGGCCGAGGCAGGTGGATCACGAGGTCAAGAGTTTGAGACCGCCTGGCCAACATGGTGAAACCCCATCTCTACTAAAAATACAAAAATTAGCTGGGCTTGGTGGTACATGCCTGTAATCCCAGCTACTTGGGAGGCTGAGGCAGGAGAATCGCTTAACCTGGGAGATGGAGGTTGCACTGAGCCGAGATGGTGCCACTGCACTCTGGCCTGGCAACAGAGCGAGACTCTGTCTCAGAAAAAAAAAAAAAAAGAATTCAGGCAGCAAAGGAGAAAAAGAAGGTGCAGACTGAGAATTAGGAAAACCAGATGGAATCTGACAGAGAACAAGAGAACTTTGAAGGACAAATTGATTAAGTGTGACTAATACAGAAAAATTGAGCAGTGACTCAAAGCTCTGTGAAGGAATCTAGAGTTCATTAAGAGATACTTGGTGAGTAGTGTCAGTACAGGGGAAACAGCCAGATTACAATGAGTTCAGATATAAACAAGAGATGAGGAAATAGAGACAGCAAGCACAGATCATCTGCAAGAAGCATGACTGAAAGAGAAGGGGAAGGGAGGAGAGGGCTATAATTAGAGGGGAATCTTGTTTGGGTTTTGCTGGGGTGTTTTGTTTTGTTGAGATAGGGTCTCACTTTGTAGTCCAGGCTGGAGTGCAGTGGCCTGATATCAGCTCACCACAGGCTCGACCTCCTGGGCTCTGATGATCCTCCTACCTCAGTCTTTCAAGTAGCTGGGGACACAAGTGTACACCATCATGCCTGGCTAATGTGTGTATTTTTGGTAGAGACAGAGTTTTGCCATGTTGCCCAGGCTGGTCTCAAACTCCCGGGCTCAAGTGATCCGAATGCCTAGGCCTTCCAAAGTGCTGGGATTACAGGTGTGAGCTACCGCACCTGGCCTGGGTTTTGCTGGTTTTGCTATTATTTATCATCTATGTGCTAAGTGTTTCACATGCATAATGACATTTAATCCTCATGAGAACTCTGTGACAAAATCCCCATTTTACAAATGGTTTTTGGAGAGGTGAAATGTTTCCCCAATTACAAAGCTATAGCATCAGGATTCAAACCTAAAGAGTGTTTGGCTGAACCACTACCCAAATTTGTAGCAAGTTCTCTGAGTCTGTATAGGGGAAGAATGAGTGTAAATGAGACAAGTTTTGGGAAATGCAGGAAATGGGGAGGGGAGATTCCAGTGTAATGCCCTCTCCTCTGAAGTTGGAACTGTGTTCCAGGAACTGAAAGTGCCTCAGGGGACTGAGGACAGAGGCACGTATACAGAAGGAATGCCTCCTCACTCTGCTGCCACTGCCTGCTTTCCTTCTGAATGAAGTGGTTAAAAGTCTTCAGTGCACCAGCCATGATGGCTCATGCCTGTAATACCAGCACTTTGGGAGGCCGAGGTGGGGGGATCATTTGAGGTCAGGAGTTCAAGACCAGCCTGGTTAACATGGTGAAACCTTCCTCTACTAACAATACAAAAATTAGGCAGATGTTGTGGTGGGTGCTGTAATCCCGGCTACTTGGGAGGGTGAGGCAGGAGAATCATCTGAATCTGGGAGCTGGAGGTTCCGGTGAGCTGAGAACGTGCCACTGCACCCCAGCCTGGGTGAGTCTTCAGAGTATATTATATAGCTATTTAAAGCAGCATTTCAAGAAGTTTTTATGATTAGAGAAATGTATGTGTTATAATAAAGTAAAAAAAAATAAGCAAACCAAATTGTATACATAGAATTATTGTCAAAGCATTAAAAGAATAAAGGCCAACAATGGCGGTCATTTATGTGAGTGGTGCGATTACCAAAGCTTTCCCACTCCGTTTTCCTTTTAAAACATATTTGAGGCCAGGCATGGTGGCTCACACCTGTAATATTCCGAGAATTTTGGGAAGCTGAGGCAGGCAGATTGCTTCAGTCCAAGAGTTCGTCGGGACCAGCTTAGGTAACATAATGAAACCCTATCTCTATTAAAAACACAAAAATTAACCAGGCGTGATCAAGTGCACCTGTAGTCCCAGCTACTCGAGAGGCCGACGTGGGAGGATCACCTGAGCCCAGGAGGCAGAGATTGCAGTGAGCTGACATCTGCATTCCAGCCTGGGTGTCAGAGGGAGACTCTGTCTCAGAAAAAAAAAAAAAAAAAAAAAAAAAAAATGCAGTCAATAGAAATTGGGCAAGTCACCGGACTTGCAGAGATTTGTTCAATAATCATCCTCTACTCCCCCTGCAAATTTCTGATTTGCAGCACCACTCCCTTGAATACAGGGGCACCTATATGTGGGTTGGGCCAAATGGAATTTTTCCTGGAACCTTGCAGATGCTCGAGTTGTTGGCAGAGATAGCCAAGCTGCTTAGCAAAAGCCGATTTGCCGGAGAAGTGAATGAACCAACACAGAAGCAGAATTGAGACATAAGGAAGGCAAGATCTGAGAGCGTCTAAGTCCCTGATGCCAATCTTGGTTTGGTTCCATGAGACTATGCATATTCCTCTTTTGGTCTAAGCTATTTTAAGATGAGTCAGTTGCTTGAAATGAAAAGAGCTTGCCTAATTCAACATATTTCTCTAAACTCGTAGCCATGAGTTAAATCATTTAGATACTGTATTGTTGCCAGAAAAATAGGTCTTGATCCAGACCCCAAGAGGTTTCTTGGGTCTTGTGCAGAAAGGAATTCAAAGTGAGTCTCAGAGTGCAGTGAGAAGAGACAGTTTATTGAAAGCTACTGTTTCAGAGTATAACATCCTCAGAAGGCAAGAGGAGGAACACCTCATCTTTGTTTTAAGTTTTTCTTATGTAGGGGTCTTGTCTACATGAAAGCTAAGCTAAGATGTGTCTACATGAGAGTAGGCTGAAAGCAACACAAAATTTATTATTCTGTTAATTTAAAGAAAGTTAGCCGGGCTTGGTGGCTCACGGCTGTAATCCCAGCACTTTGCGAGGCCGAGGCAGGTGGATCACGAGGTTAAGAGATCGAGACCATCCTGGCCAACATAGTGAAACCCCGTCTTTAAAAAAAAATAATAATAAAATAAATAAATTGAAAGAAAGCTATCCTTTTTTTAAAAATCAAAAATCAAAAATCAGATGTCAAGTGGATATGTTTTTTAAAATAAAATAAAGAAAGCTATCCTTGACATTATACTGTGTAAGTACCTCAAAGTATAACTATAATTCTATATTTTTTGTTTTGTTTTGTTTTTGAGACAGGGTCTCACTCTCTTTCTTACTCAGGCTGGAACGTAGTGGTACAATCTCAGCTCACTGCAACCTTCACCTCCTGGGCACAAGTGATCCACACATTTCGGCCTCCTGGGTAGCTGGGACCACAGGTGCACACACCATGCCTGGCTAATTTGTTTTTACTTTTGTAGAGATGGTGTCTCGCTATGTTGCCCAGACTGGTCTCAAACTCCTGCATTCAAGGAATCCTCCTGGCTTGGCCTCCCAAAATGCTGGGATTACAGGCATGAGCCATTGCATCTGGCCATTGTAATTGTCTTGAAAGCATATATTACTACGGGTGTTGGGAAATCTGGACTTTCAGTTGTTGTAGGACTATGTCCTTGCAGGTATTTTTAAGCTGTTTCCTCAACTAAACATCATATGACCATGGGTCATGAGTGGCAAGGAATGTGCCTTGGGTAGTTTTAAAATGGAGTTGAGGTCAGGCGCTGTGACTCATGCCTGTAATCCCAGCACTTTGGGAGGCCGAGGGGAGTGGATCACCTGAGGTCGGGGGTTCAAGACCAGCCTGGCCAACATGGTGAAACCCCATTACTACTAAAAATACAAAAATTAGCCGGGTGTGGTGGCACACACCTGTAATCCCAGCTGCTTGGGAGGCTGAGACTGGAGAATCGCTTGAACCCGGGAGGTGGAGTTTGCAGTAAACCGAGATTGTGCCACTGTACTCCAGCCTGGGTGACAGAGCAAGACTCTGTCTCAAAAAAAAAAAAAAAAAAAAAAAATGGAGGGCCGGGTGCTGTGGCTCACGCCTGTAATCCCAGCACTTTGGGAGGCCAAGGCGGGTGGATAACGAGGTCAGGAGTTCAAGATCAGCCTAGTCATCATAGTGAAACCCCGTCTCTACTAAAAATACAAAAATTAGCCGGGTGTGGTGGCACGTGCCTGTAATCTCAGCTTCTCAGGAGGCTGAGGCAGGAGAATCACTTCAACCCGGGAGGCAGAGGTTGCCGTGAGCAGAGACCGCCATTGCACTCAAGCCTGGGTAACAGAGTAAGACTCTGTCTCAAAAAAAAAAAATGGAGTTGATTTTAAAATGATGTCACTCTGACTCTCCCAGGCTGTGACTTCCTAACAGCCTGACTGAGAATTGCATGCCTAAGATCTGAGGGTCCTGGGTTCATCCCTTGGTTGAGGTTCCTGCTGCGTCAAGAATGGTGTGTGATAGCAGAGCCCACACCATCTCCTCCTGGCCTGCCTCACTTTCATGGCTACATGTAGTTATAGCATCAATTTTCTAGTGGCTACTTTGTGCAAAGCACCAGGCACAGCAGTTCCAGAAAGAATTTTACTGCTAGGCCCTGACTTGAACAGGACTAGACATCCTCTAGTTCCACTAACAGCTAAAGAGACCTATGCAGCCAGCTGATTTGGACAATAAAATGTGCAGTTTGTTTTTCTGTCTGTCACACACTATTGCTACTAGTATCGAAGAAGCTATTCTTGGAGAATGAAAATGGAGATAAAAGCCCATGAGGAGTCTTTTTTTTTTTTTTGAGACGGAGTTTTGCTCTTGTTATCCAGGCTGGAGTGCAATGGCGCCATCTCGGCTCACCGCAACCTCCGCCTCCTGGGTTCAAGCAATTCTCCTGCCTCAGCCTCCTGAGTAGCTGGGATTACAGGCACGTGACACTATGCCCAGCTAATTTTTTGTATTTTTAGTAGAGACGGGGTTTCACCATGTTGACCAGGATGGTCTCGATCTCTTGACCTTGTGATCCACCCCCTCGGCCTCCCAAAGTGCTGGGATTACAGGCTTGAGCCACCACGCCCGGCCTAAAAGCCCATGAGGAGTCTTAAATTTGTATTTGAAATTGGGAAAAGGTTGTACTTCAAGCCTCCTCATTCTTTATTATTATTATTAATTTTTGGAGGTAGGGTCTCACTCTGTCATTCAGGCTGGAGTGCAGTGGCACAGTCATGGCTCACTGCAGCCTCAAATGCCTAGGCTCAAGTTATCCTCCTGCCTCAGCCTCCAGAGTAGTAGGACTACAGGCATGCACCACCATGCCTAGCTAATTTTTAAATTTTTTGTAGAGATGGGGTCTTGCTATATTGCCCAGGCTGGCCTCAAATTCCTAACCTCAAACAATCCTCCTGCCTCGCCCTCCCAAAGTGCTGGGATTACAGGCATGATCCTCCATGCCCGGCCTTAAGCCTCCTTGTTAAGAGATGGAGCAAAATACTGAAGCTGGGGAAGACAGAGGATCTGGCTCTATGACCTGCTTCCCAATTAGATTCCTGGCTCTGACATCGAATGGACCAAAGCATACAGTGAAATGGCTCTTATGTTTATTTTGTTGATTGAATTTTTTTTGGTTCATTTATTTCAATCATCATTTAAAAAAATTTATTTCTATATTTTGAGACAGCCTCACTCTGTTGCCCAGGCTAGAATGCAGTGCCGTGATCCTGGCTTACTGCTGTCTCAATCACTCAGGCTCAAGCCATCGTCACACCTCAGCCTCTTGAGTAGTTGGGACTACAGGCTCCTGCCACCATGCTTGGCTAATTTTTATTTGTTTTTTGAAATGGGATTTTGACATGCTGTCCAGGTTGGTCTCAAAGCTCTGTGCTTAAGCCATCAGCCCACCTTGGTCTCCCAAAGTGCTGGGATCGCAGGTGTGAGTGAGCCATCATGTGCAGCATTTATTTTAAGGATTTGCACTGTGCTAGTCCTTGCACCCTCATGTCTCCTGTGCCATCCTCCTTCTCCCAGTGTTCCTGGTGCTGTCTCCTCTACGCCCAGGCCTCTGTGGCTGAGACTTGAGCAATGTCAACCCCAGGTCTCTCTCTAACTCCTGGTACCTGAATGCTGAGCAGTTACTAGCAAGTGCTAGTACACAGATACAAATACAGACAAGATAATCCTTCCTCCTTCTCCATTGTACACAGTTTAGTGGCGGTATTAAGCAGAAACAACTAACCATGTAAAATAAAATAATATTTTGTGGCAAACACAGGTCCTTATGAGGGCCAAATGGTAAGCAATTAATCCATGGGATACAGAGGTGGGTGTTGCTGTTCCCAGGAGCGGTGACACCTGACTTAGGGCTTGAAAGATGGATAAGAGTTTGCCAAGTGGATGAGGCAGAAGGGTTTCCTAGGCAGTGGGATCCATCATCATGAACAAGACCCAGAGGAATCCAACTGTGCCGGGTACTAGGGTAGCAAGAGCATAGCGTGTTTCATTTCAGTGAAGCCGGTTTCACTGCCAGGTTCACGTTTTCCGTTTCTAGGTTTCAATTCTGCAATAAGCAAACTTCTGAGAAATACGAATTTCTGTTTATTCTTGTTCAGACAAAAGCTGAAAATATTGATGAATGAGCAGATGAAAGGAATGTATATAAGAGATCCTAGGCTTTGTCAATCAAGGAATGAGTCACAACAACGCTGGGAAGAAAAGAAGACAAGGACTTGTGACACTATGGCAACGTTGTCCTCTTTGGAGCCCTATCTTCTCCTGGCAAGGGCCTGGAGCAGCTGTTCTTGCTACAACACTAGCTCTGCTGTCTGCTCCTTTAGCAGGCCAGATCTAGGCACTGTCCCTCATGTCCCCTGCACCATCCTCCTGTCCCCAGTTTTCCTGGTGCTACCTTCTGTGTGTCCAGGCCCTTGTGCCTGAGACTTGAGCATTACTACCGGCAGGTGCCCTTAGGTCCCTTCCTATCTCCTAATCCCCAAATGCTGAGTGGCCCCCGCGGAGACAGAGCTGGAGGCTGGTGGTGGAGGGCAGAGCTACTTCGGAGCTGAGCATCTCTTCCTCTTTGGCAGGGAAGCTTCTTCTCTATCTTTCTCACTCCTTGGTGCCCAGACAGGACCAGGAAGAATCTAGCTCCCTTCCCAACAGAAGTAGTATGCATATTTGCGGCAGAGCCCCAAGGGTGTTGCTGGTGTGAGGTTGACTGGAGGACTTGCCAAGAAGGCTGAGTTTGGGGTTTAACGTGAAAGCTGAAACTGGAGAAGGAGATGCTAACCGAATTGTCCAGAGGGTAAACAAAAGCTCAAACCTTAAGGATTAGCAAGGGCCAGTGCAGACATCAAATTCAATTGCAAGTCGTAGGCAGAAGGCTTGGAATCTGGCTTGGACCTGCAGCGAGTGGGAAGGGCCCAGGGCAATCACTGCCCACTCTCAGCTGCTCACTTGTCAGTTGTATGCAACTGGTCTGTCACACAGTGTTAGAAACAAATGCTTGTTCCTTGGTGCTGCAAAGAAGAACTAGCAGTTAGACAAAGAGTTTTGTTAGAAAGGCAATTTTACTTTCTGCAGAAAGGGTGCTTCTCACAAGTCACAAGAGCACTTAGAACAAAGGAGAGTAGACGTTTTTATTTCTAATGTGACTCCTGCCCCTGTGTCCTTTCTTCATTGGCTGGGGTCAGACTGCACCAGACCTGATTGGTTTAAACTAGACCTGATTGGCTAAACATTTAAATTAGACCTGATTGGCTAAATATTTAAACTTTCTTAGATAAGGTGGACATCTAACAAAAGAGAGGAGAGAGGAGGAAGGGGTCGTCTGCAGCGAACTAGAGAGCCAGTCTTTTCTTAAATTAGGAAGGGAATGTGAGCTGGAGCTGACAGCACCGCTGGTGCTGTGGCATGCCCGGGCATGTAGCAAAGTCAGAAAGAAGAAAAGGAGAAGAAAGGGTGTGGGCACTGGGAATTAAAGAATAAAAGGTTGAGCAGGCTCTTTGAAGAGAAACTTTGCCATATCTCACAACTTCTTCCTTCAACTTTTTTTTAAATTAACTTTTTCTTTCCAAACTTTTTTTTAGCATATTCTGACTGTCCTGTTTTTTATTGTTTTTGCTGGCTTGATTTTCTAGAAATAAAAGTCTATTTGAATAGAGTGGGGGAGAGTTGAGGAAAGTTTTGGTGAGAGGTTTTCTTTTTTGAGACGGAGTTTCACTCTTGTTGCCCAGGCTGGAGTGCAATGGCCTAATCTCCGCTCACCGCAACCTCCACCTCCTGGGTTCAAGCGATTCTCCTGACTCAGCCTCCTGAGTAGCTGGGATTACAGGCATACACCATCACGGCCGGCTAATTTTTTTTTTTTTTTTTTTTTTAGTAGAGATGGGGTTTCTCCATGTTGGTCAGGCTGGTCTTGAACTCCCGATCTCAGGTGATCTGCCCGCCTTGGCCTCCTAAACTACTGCAATTACAGACGTGAGCCACTGCGCCCCGCCAAGGGTTGTTTTAATAAATTTTTATACTAACCCACAAGCACGGGGTATGCGGCAGCATTTAACAAGGATTAGTGCAGTACACCTGTGACAATTGTGAGAGGGGTGAGTATTGAAGTTATTAACTTTTTCCATCCACTGAACTACTTGTCTGTGAGGCCTGTTAAGGAATCAGATATCTCTGAGTTGTTAGCTAATTCCTCTGATAGAGAGGTAAGGCCTTGTAAGGCCTTTGTAATTGTTCTGTCAGGGGCTGTGTTATTAGGAATGAAAATGCAACATTGGGTTCTAATCATGACACAAACTCCACCTTTTTTTGCTGGCATCATGTTTAATGCTATTCTGTTTTCCTAGGCCATTTGACTGGTGGGCATTAATTGTTCAGCTATTCCTCTCATGGCATCTCTGGTATATATAACAAAACGTTGCTGGTTATAGAAAATGCAGTTTATTTAATCTACATTTTAATTGATAGTTACTTACTAGAACAATTCGGATTCAAACCTTGCAGCTATTTGGTTTCGGGCTTTGAATTCATTTGGCAAACCTGGTGGAACTTTTGATGGCATCTGTATAAGCTTGAGGATCAAAGGACTCATAAGGAGCTTCTCTTGGTTTGCAGCTTTTTGCTTTTACTTTCTCAGGTTGGTGAAATGCCAAGGTGAAAGGGATGGCCAGTTGGACTGGAGCACAAGTTCTGCTCCAGTTACTTGGCAGAGTGTCTAGTAAAAGTCTGCCACAATACTACTATACATCTGCTTGGGGATGGCTAAGGGCAGACTGCTAGCTAAGCTCTTGGAAGGGCTTAAGCTTTTTGCATCCTTTTAAGTTTCAGAGGAATGCTAAATTTTCCTCTTGTCATGAGAGACACTAGGTAAACTTGATATTGGGAGGCGGAGACTGTGGCCTTTGGGGGCTGACCACCGGGTGCTGAACTTCTGGGAACAGCAGAAAGAGAGCTTGCTACTATTTATTATTTTAGGCTGTGGGATTTCTGAAAAGAGCCACCATACAGCTCATGTCCGGTTGACAGAGAGACTAAGTGGAAAGGGGACAGTCTGTGCCTCTGGCCTACTGTGCGCACAAGAGTAACAGTTGCTTTTGTCTAGGGTGCAAACCTATTATTTAGTCTATTTCAACCAGGCATTTGAATGGTTGCTGTTCTGTCTTAATTGCTAAGGTTTGTTTTAGATCATTTACTTTTACAAAAGACACCTTGGTCCTATCATTAAGTAGAGGAATAACAGGTGTCTGCTCTAAAGCTGAAACTCTTGGGGTAGGGAAGGAGGAGGAGGAATGATGTGTATTTAAAAAAATACGTATAGAATCTTTCTTATTGACATTGGCCCCTACACTATAGAATTGACTGAGGGCAGGCCTAGGGTCAGTGGAGGGAGAGGTAGTAATAGAAATAAGGCTGGGTCCAGTGGAATGCCTGGAATCCCAGCACGTAGGGAGGCCGAGGCGGGTGGATCACGAGGTCAGGAGATCGAGACCATCCTGGCCAACATGGTGAAACTCTGTCTTTACTAAAATACAAAAAAAATCACCGGGCATGGTGGTGCATGCTTGTAGTCCCAACTACTCGGGAGGCTGAGGTAGGGGAATCCCTTGAACCTGGAAGGTGGAGGTTGCGGTAGCCGAGATTGAGCCACTGCACTCCAGTCTGGCAACAAAGCAAGATTCTGTTTTAAAAAGAAAAAAAATAAGGATAGGGTTGCATTGGTGAGATTGGCAATCAGGGAGAGTAGTTCCTTTGGTAAAATGGAGGAGGGGCTTTAGATTGATGCAACCCCCCCCCAGTAGAAGTGTAACCTTGGTACTGGGTGGTCTGCGGATGTAGTTCTGATTACTATAAGGTTGCTAGGCTGTGGGAGTAAAGGAATGGCATCTTGGTTGTAGTCACAACAGTGAGAACTTGGGGTAACTGTAGAGATTAGAGGGCCAGGGCAGAGATACTTATCTGAAGAAGCTAGTTGTCTTTGGTCCTTCAAATCCTTAGAAGGTATAACAAGACAAGCATTAAAAACAATGGTTTGGCCTGAGTCAGACTTAGTTACATTAATAACAAAGTAGCTAGCAACAGAGTGAGGAAAGAGGGAGAGACAATATATAAAAGGTATAGAAGAATTAAGCTTTTCTTAGCTTTAATTTGGTAGGGCTTGACCTTGGAACAATGGCGGGTGATTCTGTGGGTGGGGGAGCACCAGATAAGGTCCTTCTTAAGCTGGGTTGAGTTTTCTTTCCTTCTACCTTTTGATGAGGGTGCGATCGCTACGTTGATGTTGATGTGCTGGAAACTTTAGGGGAGGTACCTGTGCCAGGAGACCTTTTGTTTTAAGAGAAGAGAAAGTAGAAGATAGACCAAGTATATAGTTTCTGAAGAACTGATTTTTTGGTTTCAGATGTAGGGACATCAGTAGTCAAATGTAAATAAGGCAGCTTATGTAGCATCTCATAAGGGGATAAACATCCTTTCAAGGGGCAGTTCTGATTCTTAACAAGACAATGGGGAGGCATTTAGTCCAGAGTAACTGGGTTTCTAGGACTAATTTGGTTAGGTGACTCCTTAGAGTTTGATTCATCCCCTCCTGAAGAGGATGGATGCTAAGGGATATGGTATTCTTTATGTCTGGCACCTGGGCTAATTCTCTAATAATGTTTTCCTTGAAATGTTTTCTACTAGTCTAAATCTGGGTATGATGTTTTCAGTGAATGCTTTAACTATATTACTAGCGATTGTGTTTGAGAAGGGGATAGCCTCTACTCAGTAAAGTGGTCTACTGTTACTAGCAAATACTTCAGGCAACCGATCGGAGGCACTTTAGTGTAATTGAACACTTTGGGATGGTCTTAGCCTTGGATCTCTTCCTTTGAGGAGTGATTTTCTTTCTTTTTCTTTCTTTCTCTTTTTTTTTTTTGAGACGGAGTCTCTGTCCCCAGGCTGGAGTGCAGTGGTGCAATCTAAGCTCACTGCAGCCTCCGCTGCCCGGGTTCAAGCAATTCTCCTGCCTTAGCTTCCTGAGTACCTAGGACTACAGACACACGCTGCCATGCCCGGCTAATTTTTGGTATATTTAGTAGAGAGGGAGTTTTACCACGTTGGCCAGGTTGGTCTTGATCTTCTGACCTTGTGATCTGCCCGCCTCGGCCTCCCAGAGTGCTGGGATTACAGGGATGAGCCACTGCACCTGGCAGGGGGGTGATTTTCTTAGGGCTTGTTTATTAGTTTTCCTGCGTATTAGGCAACTATCTGTGACCTGTTTGGCTAGGGTATAAATTCTAATACACTTTTAAAAAATTTTTTATTTTTTTTACAACATGGGGTTTCACCATGATGGCCAAGCTGGACTTGAACTTTTGACCTCAGGTGATCCACCCACCTCGGCCTCCCAAAGTGCTAGGATTACAGGCGTGAGCCACCATGCCCTGCTCTAATACACTTCTAAACTCTCAGAACTGCATTACACATAGCTTGGGGTCCTCAATGGGTTTTTTGATGTAGTTGAGTCAAGACCTCCCTCATGAGAGGTTTGGGTAACATCTTTTCATCTGGTAATATTCATTTTCCTTCTGTGTTCTCTTCAGCACCTATTTTTATTAACTTTTCCTTTGCAGTGGAAGAGAAGATGGGGCCTGCAGTAGGGGAAGCAAGGCAAGGCGTTAAGTGAAAGACAGGCATTTCAGAAGGAAATAGCTCGTTTGGCTATCTGATCTGCAAGGTTATTTCCCTGACTTGTGAAAGAAAAGTCTTTTTGATGCTCTGGGACATGTGCAATAGCTATCTCTCTGGCACCTGGAGATTGTCTAGGGCACGAACAATTAGTTGTTTGTGGACTAGACCTTGGCCTTTATTGTTAGTAAGAACCCTCTCAGTCCAAATGTTTCCAAATGTATGAGCCCCTCCAAAGGCATACTTAGAATCAGTATAGATAGTTCCTTCTTGGCTCTGTAAAGGTTTCAAAGCTTGGATGAGTGCAAACAGTTCGCGGGTTTGGGCAGACTAATTATTGGGTAGTCTTCCTGATTTGACTTCTTCAAGAGTTTCTCCATTAATTACTAAATACTTAATATATCTGTTCCCTTCAATTACTTAAGTCTGGCCAGACCTTCATATGATAATTAATTAAATCTAAACATGTGTGCCTCCTTTATAGGTTTGGATTCCTTGTTAAGAAATCTGCCGGGTTGAGTGAATTATCAGTAGTTAATGTTAAATTATTTTTTTCTAGCAGAATAGCCTCACTCTTTAAAATGTTTCAGTCAGTGATCCACCTCCTTGCTTGTTGATTTAAGATAGTTCTAACTTGGTGGGGCTTGCTTACTATAATGTTCCTTCAAAGGTTAATTTTCTACTTTCTTTCATACTGCTGTAGCCACAATGGATTGAATGCGTTGAGGCCATCCACAGGTGACTGGCCTCGTGGTAAGCACTGTGCTCTTGGGTAAGCACTCTTAAAGCTACCCTGTCATTCACGTTAACGAAAAGGTGAAATGGCTTTTCTAGGAAGGGTAGGGCTAGAACAGGGGCAGTTGTGAGCATCTCTTTTAATTCCTCAGCTTGATGGATTTCCTCAGAAGTCTACAAGAGACAGTCAGGTTTCCACTGGGTAAGTTTTTCATATAAAAGTTTACTTTTTAGTGCACAGCTGCCTGAAGGGAGTGTCGGGGAAACTGAAGGGAAGAAGATGATCTAGAGGATCCCATGTGTTGGTGGGTGCAGGTTGTTTAGAAACAGGGACTTTTTCTCTTTCAGAGGAATTGGTTTCTGGCTTGTTCATTCTGGTTTTTAAGGGGTAAAGGAGGACAGGTCCTTGTCTCTAACAAAGAGCATAGTCTATCTCCTCCTGGGAGACAGGGCTTTTATCATTAACATGTTCCATTAAGAGCTGACAAATCCACTGCTCATCAGGCCTAAATTTTGGCCACAAGACTGAGGGTGTAAGGATGGGCCCTCCAAATAAAACAACAATATTTTATTATTTGCTGCTTTCTTTTATGTTTGGTTCTTTCATTATCTTTCTAATAGTTTAACATAAGCCTTAGGGGACTATCAGGAGGAATTTCATTATCTTGAAGGTTTGGGGTGATGCCTAAGTAGAACAGGCCTTTTCCTTGGAACTTTCAACACCCCCTTGCTGGAGGTTTCTAGCACTCCTAGGTGCAGGGCGTTGGGGGAGTGCAGGGGCAGTGTGGGGGCGCCTCAACCTGCGATGTTTCTTACCTTGGTCTGTGCAGTTACGGGGTTGCCATGGTGTTGTAAACTGCTTCTTCCTGTGTTGCTGAAAGCCTGGATTTATTCATCACAACAGGTAGGTCTTGATCTCCTGTCCCTGAGGCCACTGCAATGGGACAGTGGGACATGTCTCCCCTTGGGTGGGGTGACCGAAGACCCCCTCCTGAAGGAGAATGGGAACCTCAGATGAGCCCCCAAAATTGTTAGAAACAAATGCTTGTTCCTCAGTGCCGCAAAGAAGAACTAGCACTTAGACAAAGTTTTCCTAGCAAGGCAATTTTACTTTCTGCAGAAAGTGTGCTTCTCACAGGGCTGGCCATCATGAGAGCACCCAGAACAAAGGAGAGTTGAAGTTTTTATTTCTAATATGACTCCTGCCCCAATGTCCTTCCCCCTTGGCTGGGGTCAGACTACATAATTTAGACTAGACCTGACTGGCTAAACATTTAAACTTTCTTAGATAAGGTGGACACCTAACGAGAGAGAGGGGAGAGGAGGAAAGGGTCCTCTGCAGTGAACTAGAGAGCCAGTCTTCTTAAATTAGGAAAGGAATGTGAGCTGGAGCTGACAGCACCACTGGTGCTGTGGCATGCCCAGGCATGTAGCAAAGTCAGAAAGAAGAAAAGGAGAAGAAAGGGTGGGGGTACTCGGAATTAAAGAATGAAAGGTTGGGCAGGCTGTTTGATGAGAAACTTTGCCGTAACTCACACACTTGGTGGGGCTTGCTTACTATTAATTTTCCTTCAAAGGTTAACTTTCTACTTTCTTTAACTAATACTGCTGTAGCCACAATGGATTGAATGCATTGAGGCCATCCACAGATGACTGGGTTTAAAACCTTTGACAGGAAGGCTCATGCATGATCTCTCTCTCTCTCTCTCTCTCTCTCTCACACACACACACACACACACACACACACACACACACACACACACATACTGGCTCACACAGCTAGCAGAGCAAAAAATACCCTCACCTGTGGAGAGACCCAGACCCATTTGGGGAGTCTGCAACACAAACTCCCCTTCCCCTTACCTGTTCTTCTGCACCAGGTTTTTTGGTTTTTTTGTTTGTTTGTTTTTGAGATGGAGTCTCACTCTGTCACCAGGCTGGAGGGCAGGGGCATGATCTCAGCTCACTCTAACCTGTGCCTCTCAGGTTCAAGCGATTCTCCTGCCTCAGCCTCCTGAGTAGCTGGGACTGCAGGCATATGCCACCATGCCCAACTAATTTTTGTATTTTTAGTAGAGATGCGGTTTCACCATGTTGGCCAGGATGGTCTCCATCTCTTGACCTTGTGATCCACCCACCTAAGTCTCCTAAAATGCTGGTATTACAGGTGTGAGCCACTGTGCCTGCCCTGTTTTTTTTTTTTTGGGGGGCGGGGGGACAGGGTTTTACTCCAGTGGCCCAGGCTGGAGTGTAGTGGTGTGGTCTTGACCCACTGCAACCTCTGCCTCCTGGGTTTAAGCAATTCTCCTGCCTCAGCCTCCCAAGAAGCTGAGATTACTACTAGTGCTACTGTGCCCAGAAAATTTTTGTATTTTTGTAGAGATAAGGTTTCACCACATTGCCCAGGCTGGTCTTGAACTCCTGGGCTCAAGCAATCCACCTGCCTTGGCCTCCCAACATGCTGGGATTACAGGCATGAGCCACCCTGCCTGGCTGTACCAGGTCTTAAAAGGAAATCCTTCCTCAACCACCAGTCTTCCTATGGAGCTTAAGCAGATTTGCATCTGTAGATGTTTCCCTTCTGGGAGATTTCAAGGCTCTCCCTTTGGGCATAATAAGAAAAGAGAGCAACTCAGAGGAAGGGAACATAAAGGGCAGGGTTTGAGTAGACACTTTTGCAGACAGCTTGGGAGAGGGGCTGAGGCTTTGGAAGCCAGGAGAAGGAGGACAGCCAAGGGGCCCAAGGGACTGACAGAGCAAGGAGAAACGGCTCGGTCGTGTTCTTTGGTGCTTTGGCACATGACCTCATTATCGTGGGCAACAGGCTGAGGCTGTTTGATTGTGTTTGGGGGAAAGGATTGAAAAATAGTGCCAGGCATGGTGGCTCATGCCTGTAATCCCGGCACTTTGGGAGGCCAAGGCAGGCAGATGGCTTGAGCCCAGGGGTTTGAGACCAGTCTGGGCAACATGGTGAAACCCCGTTTCTACTAAAAATACAGAAATAAGCCAGATGTGGTGGCACATTCCTGTAATCCCAGCTACTTGGGAGGCTGAGGCAGGAGAATTGCTTGAACCCAGGAGGTAGAGGTTGCAGTGAGCCAAGATTGTGCTATTGTACTCCAGCCTGGGCAATAGACCGAGACTCTGTCTCAAGAAAAAAAGAAAATAATTCCTTAGCAATGATGTAGTAATCCCCACTAGGGGTGCTGCCCATATTCTAATTGCAATCTGAATTCTCATATTCTTGTACATCCTTCTACTCTGGAAATTGTCCTTGTTACACAGGCTGGGTGCCCAATGACCAGGTCCGTACTATGCAACCCTGTCCTCATGGCATATAGCTAATTGGTCCAGTGGTGGACTTGAATCAAGAGGTCTCATCAGATCTGTGCATAACTAAACCACCAATAGTTTGGGGGTCTGCCCCCGAGCCAAGCCAGGCCAGAGACCCTTCTCACAGCAGAGTGAGAATAGATTAGTCCCTCTCTGCCAGTGGCAGGTAGGATGTGAATAAGGCCAGGGAGCTAGTGGCACTCAGTCACACTGAGGAGTTAAGGCTGGAGTGGGGAAAGTTGAAGGCAGCATGCAGAGAAAACCAGAGAACTAGACATCGAATCCTTGGTTCCAGCCATATCTGACCAAGGCCCTAAATCAGAGTTTCCCTTTTATTCTTCTGGTTTAGTTGCTACTTGAAACACTTAATTATCCTTCCAACAAGTTTCAACCCCCACTTTTCCTTCTTAAAGTAGTTGGTTGGGTTTTTTGTTCCTTGCACCACACACCAAGAAAACAGATGACGAGCTGAGTAGGTTAAATTAATGTTCTCCAAAGCTTTGTTCATCCTGAGACCTCAGATTACTTCGCATCCCTCAATCACAATGGCACCCAGAAGGCACTGAATCAATAGGGACTGCTTTTTCCCTAGCCAGTTTTGGAAGTTCCATTACCAGAGCTGGTGTCTCCCTTTCTAGAAAATTCTCAGTCCATTTACATAAGACCTGGAACTGCCTGGGAAGAGCCCACAGTTCAAAAGGTGATATGAGACCCTCTGGGAGTGTCCTTAGAGGACATGCTGGGTCTCATACCTATTTTCAATTTTACATGTGACTCAGCCGTTGCTGCTGCCACTGCCTCTTTCTTTTTTCTTTTCTTTTCTTTCTTTCTTTTCTCTCCTTCCTTCCTTCCTTCTTCTTTTTTTTTTTTTTTTTTGAGATGGAATCTGGCTTTGTTGCCCAGGCTAGAGTGTAGTGGCGTAATCTCAGCTCACTGCAACCTCCACCTCCTAGGTTCAAAGTGATTCTCCTGCCTCAGCTTCCCAAGTAGCTGGGATTACAGGCACCGGCCACCATGCCTGGCTAATTTTTATTTTTGTATTTATTTATTTATTTATTTTTGAGACAGAGTCTTGCTCTGTCACCCAGGCTGGAGTGTAGTGGTGTGATCTCAACTCACTGCAACCTCCATCTGCTGGGTTCAAGTGATTCTCCTGCCTCAGTTTCCTGAGTATCTGGGACTACAGGCACCCGTGACCATGCCTGGCATGTTTTTGTATTTTTAGTAGAGATGGGGTTTCACCATGTTGTCCAGGCTAGTCTGGAACTCCTGACTTCATGTGATCTGCTTGCCTTCACCTTCCAAAGTGCTGGGATTACAGGCATGAGCCACCATGCCCGGCCAGCTAATTTTTATGTTTTTAGTATAGATAGGGTTTCACTGTGTTGGCCAGGGCTCATCTTGAACTCCTGACCTCAAGTGATCCACCTGCCTTGGCCTTCCAAAGTGCTGGGATTATAGATGTGAGCCACGATGCCTGGCCAGTCTCTTCTTAAAGTATGCATAATCAAGGCAAAATACATTTCTAAGCATGCAAACAAATCCACTGCACCCACTTACCAGACAGTTGCTCTCTACTCTGTGATTTGTGTCTAAGGCCAATGCAAGATGGGCGGATGGCCAAGGCACAGCCTGTTTCCTGAAATCATCTGTGGGAAGATAATTCACTGTTGAGCAACTCAGGACTTGAAGGAGAAAATAGGATTATAAATATTTTTACATTCATCAACTCGCTGAATAAAAGGGATATTTGGGACATTTTAATACATCTTAAATTAGTAATAATGAGTACTATTCAAATTTCCTTTCTATCTAGAGGGTGGTGACATGTTGGCATGTTGGCTTTTTTTTTTGAGATTGAGTTTTGCTCTGTCACCCAGGCTGGAGTGCTGCAGTGGCCCAATCTCAGCTCACTGCAACCTCTGCCTACTGGGTTCAAGTGATTCTCCTGCCTCAGCCTCCCGAGTAGGTGGGATTACGCCTGGCTAATTTTTGTATTTGTACTAGAGACGGGGTTTTACCTTGTTGGCCAGGCTGGTCTTGAACTCCTGACCTCAGTTGATCCACCCACCTCAGCCTCCCAAAGTGCTGGGATTACAGGCATGAGCCACCGTAGCTGGCCTGCTGGTCTTTATTATATTCTGCCATGTCCCACAGAGTTTAAGGTAGAGAATAGAAAGTTCAATTTGGGACATGCTAAAGTTAAGGACCCTGCAGGGCATGCTGGTGGCAATACCCAATGGGCATTCAAGACCCAGAATTTAGGTTTGGACATCATTGGCTTTTGGGTGGTTGTTGAAACCTTGGGTATGAGTGAGATAATCCAAGAAGCATTTGAAAGAAGAAGTAAACCAAGGCAGAGCCCTGGGAACAGAAACATTTATGGGGCTGACGGGAAGGAAAGGAATTAGTCAAGAAAGAAAACGCATTCAAAGAGATGGAAGAAAATGAGGGGTGACGGGCAATTTAGTGACTGCAGGAGAAAAGGATTTCAAGAATGAAGAACTGGTCAACATAGAGAAGAGGCCTAAAAAGATAAGTACTGAGAGGACAAAGAAGACAAGGCGTCCCTCTAGCATAGCAACAAGGAAGTTCCTGGTGACATTAGTGGCTTCGGTGGTATAGTAGAGAGAGAATCCAGATGTCAGAGGGTTGAGGACTCTGGCGCCAGTCCACAGGGGAATGAAGCTTTCCTTGCACTGCTCAGCACTACGTGATGACAAGAAGGTGGAGGGTTAAGGGGACATAGATGTAATGAGATAAGGGAGGGGGAGCTGCAAGAACAGACACTTATGTTTGGATAATCGAATTTTGTCAGAGTATTGCTTTCAGGTGATGACAGGCCTCAGAGTGTGACCAAGGGGATGAGTGGCCTGAGCAGTAAGAAGGGCTAAGGTCATTGGAGACAAGGGGGCCAGAGATTTTAAGATTAAGATATAGAAGGTGCTATCCACAGGGATACTAAATCACCCAGGATGATGGCAGTATTTCTCCTGGAAAGCCTGTGAGTCAAGGGCCAAAGTCCTCAGTGAATGTAGGGTAAGTGAGTAGATGGCCGTGCTGAGGAAGGGAGTCCAAAGAACAGTGATGATCTGAAAGAGGCAGTGAGGGCGGGGGATGCTGACCACCTTCCTTGTCACCTGGTAGGTGGGCTAGGGCATTAGTAAGGCCTCTTGCTATCCTCAGCCAGGTTTCAGTTAAAGCAGAAGGTGGAGGGAGGTCCCTTCTATAATGAACCAAGGTTCCAGATGATACAGGCTCAGGATGCTGTGGTAGGAGCAGGAAGCACAGAGGGCAGCAGCATCCCGAGAGCACAGGAGAGGCCCCTATCTGGATAAACCTGCATTTTGGGAGTCAGTCTAGGATGACAGGAAGAATCGGGACATCATGGGGCTGATTGAAGAGGCACTAAGAGAGATCAGAATTGACGTGGCTTCCATGCTGTGCAGACCAAGGCCTTAGGTGATGCCTGCAGCCTGGTATGCACCAGATTCCCAACAGAAATTTGGTGAGCCTCTGCAGGGCCTGGCCCTGGTGAGGAGAGGGATAACTAGATCCAAGTCAGAATACAAGTAGACAGTGGTCTCCTGCACCCTCTGGGTGGATATGTCTTTGTCATGGATTCTGTAGTGGGTCTCCCATCCATTCACACACTGTTCTCTATGGAGGAGCTCTTTAAGTAAGATTGGTTTCACTTCCAGCCTCAGTGGTGTGTCCTAAATCAGAAAAATCCCATCCCCAGGCCCAGTCTTTGGGTCAGGGAATGGCCCAAGCCAGCTCTACCCTCCGCTGTGTGTGGACTTTTCTCTGGTCGCAGGAGTTGCTTTAGAGGGAGTCTCTAAGTCTAGAGCAAAGATGTAAAATCTGTAAAAACCGCTGCCATTTCTGCCGCTATAAGGAGAAACAGCCTTGTCTGAATCCATTCTATGCTGCTGTAACAGATTACCACAGACTAAGTGTCTTAGTCTATTTGTGTTGCTATAAAGCAATACCTGAGGCTGGGCAATTTATAAAAGAGAACCATTTGGCTCATGGTTCTGAAGGTTGTACAAGAAGCATGACACCAGCATCTTCATCCAGTGAGGATCTCGAGCTGCTTTCCACTCATGCCAGAAGGTGAAGGGGAACCACTGTGTGCAGATGTCACATGGCAAGAAAGAAGGCAAGAAAGAGAAGGAAGGTGTCAGGCTCTTTTTAACAGCCAGCTCTCAGGGGAACTCTCATGGAAACTAATAGAGCAAGAACTCATTCATTACCATGAGGACAGGACAAGGACTGCACCAAGTCATTCATGAGGGATTTGCTCCCATGACCCAAACACTTCTCATTAGGTCCCACCTACAACACTGGGGATCAAATTTCAACATGAGGTTTAAAGGGTTAAATATTCAAACTATAGCACTGGGTAATTGACAATAAACAGAAATTTATTTGGCTTACAATTCTGGAGGCTGAGAAGTTCAATATCAAGGTCCAGCATCTGGCAAGGACCTTATTGCTGTATCATCCCATGATGGAAGGCATCACATGAGTGAGAAAGCATGTTTGTACATGAGAAAGTGAGAGTGACATGGGAGCAAACTCATCCTTTTGTCTGGATCCCACCCCTGAGATAACCCATGGCCACGGTAGCAGCATTAATCCATGCATGAGGGTGGATACTTCAGGACCTGATCACCTCTTAAAGGTCCCACTTCTCAACACTGTTGCACTAGAGATTACGTTTGCAACACATGGACTTTGGAGGACACATTCAAATCACAAAAAGTCTATATTACTATTCTTCAGAGAAACAGAGCCAATAGGATATATATTTATGAGGGGATATTTTATGAGAATTGACTCACTTTATTATGGAAGCCAAGAAGTCCCGTGATATGCTGCCTGTAAGCTGAAGACCCAGGAATGCTGGTGGTACAATTCAGTCCAAGTTTTAAGGCCTGAGAACTAGGAGCTCCTCCTCTAAAGGCAGTAGAAAATGAATGTCTCAGCTCAGAGAGAGCAAATTTGCCCTTCTTCCATCTTTTTGTTCTATTCAGGTTCATAATGGACTGGATAATGCCTATCCAACATTGGTGAGGGCAATCTTCCTTTTCCAGTCTACTGATTTAAATGATTACTTCCAGAAACACCCTCACAGACACACCCAGAAATAATGTTTTACCAACTATCTGGGCATCCCTTAACCCAGTCAAGTTGACACAGAAAATTAACCACACAACCCAAGGATAAAGCCAACACACACAGAGGAGGGAAGAGCTGGGCCAGTGCGGAGAAACAAAGCCCCTGAAGACGTTGAGACCCTCTGGATCAAAGCATTCTTCAAGTCCTCATTGCTTCTGGCCTTTTTTTCTGGAACAATATATGTTCTTTATTTTTATTTATTTATTTTTGAGATAGGGCCTTACTCTGTTGCCCAGGCTGGAGTGCAGTGATCTGATCATAGCTCACTGCAGCCTTGAATTCCTGGGCTCAGGCAATCCTCCCACCTCAGCCTCCCAACTAGCTGGGATTATAAGTGCATGCCACCATGCCTGGCTAATATTTTATGTTTTATTTTTTGTAGACACAGGGTCTTGCTTGTTTTCTCAGGCTGATCTTGAACTCCTAGGCTTGAGTGATCCTTCCACCTCAGCCTCCCAAATGTTCTTTATTATTGACACCAGTTTGAACTGGGTTTTCTGTTACCTTGCCTTACCTGAGAGCATCCCAGCTGAGAGGAACATACCAGACATACTTTGTCCTGTTAGCTCCTTACCCACCTTCCCCGGGCCAAGGTATATATGGGGGCTGGGCATGTGTAGACTCTGGAGTTCTCAGCCTTCAGGGGACTGTGATTCTGAAGATGGAGCTGGATGTAAACTATCAGTCAGGGAGGGAGTCAGCTTTCTCTGTCAGAGACTATTTGGCCCCCAACTCCTATCTTGGTGATCCAGACATTTAGTTCTGTTTTGTAGAATCTTTTGCATGACCACACCTGACTTTCGTAGTAATCTCCCTAAATTAGTTTTCTGCTAGTAAGAGTGTTCACTGTTGTGAACAGCTACTTTTTGTATTTTTGTTAGAGACAGAGTTTCACCATGTTGGCCAGGCTGGTCTTGAACTTCTGACCTCAGGTGAACCACATGGTTATTATCTGCTTTTCCTTCCCACTCTTACTCATTCAGTGAATGTTTATCAAGTGTCTACCAGGGGGCAGGCACCATTCTGGACACTGGGGATAAATCAGTGAACAAAGTAGACAATAATCCCTGCCCTTGGGGCTTATAGGATTACATTCTAATAGGGAGATACAGACAGTAAACAAAATAAACAAGTAAAAAATATATAACTTTAAACAGTGATAAAATGGGCCAGACATGGTGGCTCACTCCTGTAACCCTAGTGCTTTAGGAGGCTGAGGTGTAGGATTGTTCAGGGCTCAGAGTTTCAGACCAGCTTTGGGAATACAGTGAGAGCCCTGTCTCTATAAATAATAAAAATAAAAAATTACCCAGGCATGGTGGCACATGCTGTGGACCTGAGAGGATGGGGCAGGAGGAGTGCTTGAGCCCAGGAGTTCAAGGCTGCAGTGAGCTATGATCACGCCACGGGACTCCAGCCTGGGTGACAGAGTGAGACCCCGTCTCGAAGAAGCAATAAAATGTTAAAGCGGAAAATTCAAATCAGGGAGTTTTTGTGTGTTTTACATAGATTGTATAGGGAAGGCCTCACTGAGAAAGTTGCTTTGGATTTTGTGTAAAGAACTCAACTCAAACTGAGATATGGACTATGGATGAGTATGGAGGGGAAGATCACTCTCAGTAAAGTCCAAAGGCCTTGAGGTGGGCATGTGTCTGGTGTGTTTGAGGAACGGCAAGGAGGCTAATTTGACCCAGAGGGGTGATGGAAGGGGAGAGTAGGAGGTCACAGAGGTGATGGAGCTGGTCACACGGAGCCTTTAGGGCATAGTGAGCACATCAGTTTTTACATCTGATCAATGGGGGAACGTGGGATGGTTTTAAGCCAAGTACTGACAAGACCTGACTTACCTTTTAAAAGAAAGATGAGTCAAGGATGATCCCAAGTTTTTATCTGAACAGATGAAAGAATTGACTTGCTACTAGCTGGCTGAGTGCAGTGGCTCAGACCTGTAATCCCAACACTTTGGGAGGCTGAGGCAGGTGGATCACTTGAGGCCAGGAGTTCAAGATCAGATGGGGAACATGGTGAAACCCCATCTCTACTAAAAATACAAAAATTAGCCAGGTGTGCTGGCGCATGCCTGTAATCCCAGCTACTCAGGAGGCTGAGGCATGAGAATTGCTTGAACCTGGGAGATGGAGGTTGCAGTGAGCCGAGATGGCACCACTACACTCCAGCCTGAGTAATAGAGTAAGACTCTGTCTCAAAAAAAAAAAAAAAAAAATTGACTTGCTATTAGTTGTTAGAAAAACTACATTTTGTGTGTGTGTTGGGGAGGGCGGATGGAGAATAAATGGTCAGTTTTGGGTATTTAATTTTTCTTTTTAAGACAGGGTCTTGCTTTGTTGCCCAGGCTGGCATGCAGAGGTATACTCATGGCTCTCTGCAGCCTTGACCTCCCTGGCTGAAGTGATCCTTCCGCCTTATCCTCCTGAGTAGCTGGGACTTACAGGTATGTCCCAACATGCTTGGCTAATTTTTATTTTTTATTTTATTTTATTTTTAAAGACGGGGTTTGACCATGTTGGTCAGGCTGGTCTTGAACTCCCGACCTCAGGTGATCCGCCCACCTTGGCCTCCAAAGTGCTTGAGCCACCATGCCTGGCCCGCTTGGCTAATTAAAAAAAATTTTTTTAAGAGATATGTTGCCCAGACTGGTCTTGAACTCCTAAACTCAAGTGATCTGCTTGCCTCTGCCTTCCATAGTGCTGAGATTACAGGTGTGAACCATGGCACCTGCCTGGACATTTAAATTTGCAGTGCCTATCAGACATCTAAGTAGAGAGGTCAAGTAGACAGATGGCTGTCTGAGTCTGGAGTTCAGGACTGAGGTTCAGGTCAGGGATTTATTTGAGGTTCACTATAAAAGTGATGGTATTTAAACTCCAAAACTGGCCGGGCGCTGTGGCTCACACTTGTAATCCCAACACTTTGGGAGGCTGAGGTAGGCAGATCACTTGAGGTCAGGAGTTTGAGACTAGCCTTGCCAACATGACGAAATCCTGTCTTTACTAAAAATACAAAATTACCCCTGTAATCCCAGCTACTTGGGAGGCTGAATTGCTTGAACCTGGGAGGTGGAGGGTTCAGGGAGCTGAGACCAAGCCACTGTTTTCTAGTCTGGGTGACAGAGTGAGACTCTGTCGCAGAAAAAAACAAAAAAACAAAAACAAAACACTACAAAACTGGATAAACCCACTCAAGACCTTTTGCCTTTACTTTGATGACCCATTTTCTGAGCTGTGACAGTACTTTAATTCACATTTAGATACTTATTTAGAAACGGACTGAGCATACTGCAAATGAAGACATAATGTTTCATGTCTGGCAGACTCTAGCTTTTTTTTTTTGACAGAGTTTTGCTCTTGTTGCCCAGGCTGGAGTGCAGAGACAGGATCTCGGCTCACTGCAACCTCCGCCTCCCGGGTTCAAGCAATTCTCCTGCCTCAGCCTCCTGAATAGCTGGGATTATAGGTGCCTGCCACGATGCCCAGCTAATTTTTGTATTTTTAGTAGAGACAGGGTTTCACCATGTCGGCCAGGCTGGTCTTGAACTCCTAGGAGGCTGAGGCAGGAGAATTGCTTGAACCCAGGAGGCAAAGACTGCAGTGAGCTGAGATTGTGCCACTGCACTACAGCCTGGGCAATAAGAGCAAGACTTTGTGTCAAAAGAAAAATTCTGTCCAGTTTTTATATTTTTGAATATAAATCTTCTTTTGTTTCTTCTGTTGTTTCAAAGCCTAGAGAATGCTGACATTTGTCCATAAATATAACTGCCTCATCCTATTAAATATATAGTTCCTATGGCTGTTCTTTAAAATAATTAGCACTTTAATCCACTTGGTGTTTATTTTTATATACTATGTGAAACTTACATTTTTGTCCTCCGAAGTTTCATTCATTTATCTGCGCATTCTTCTCATAGTTCATCCTTTCTTACTGCCGTGTTTGGGAATGTTATTTTAGTATGCGTCCTGTCAGGATTAATATATATGTTTGTTCAGTCTCATTCCTTTCCGTTGATCTCAGCTTCTATTTTTGTTTCTGCTCATAGTCACAGCCCAGCAGCACCAAAGGAACATCTCGCCCCCTGCAGGCAGCCTGTGTCCCCACAACCTGGGTCTGTCCTCGGAGCCCAGGTGGACGTGTAGCTCTCTCCCTGCGGGAGGATTCAGGGCCCCTTTGACAGGTCTCCTGTGCCGGTTTCCTCCCTTCCTCCCCCCCAAAAAAAAGAAAAAGAAAAAGAAAAGAAAAGTATACAGTCATTAAAAACACTAATTACCAAGCTCGAGCTGAGGCCTCGAGCTTCCTGGGTTCCACGTTTCTAGTAACTAGTAGAGACTGACTTTTACCCTGTCATCAGGTGGGGACCGTCACCTCCTGGGCTCTTCCTTTCAGGCCTTTGCACCTCCCCGATACCAGGGCACCTGTCCCACCACGCTGCCCGTGTGGTGCTGCTTCAAGGCCCGCGGTTCTGGCCATCAGTGCTGAATGCCATGGCACTGAGTAAATTGTGTCCTGATGAGTTCTGGGAGTTGATTTTCCAGCTCACTTGCAAGCTGCTCCCTGGGCCCGCCTGTTTCCCTTCACTTTCCCTCCATGACTCCCTTCCCTCGCAGTATACCACTCAGCCTACCCTTTCTAACAAGCGCCAAAGCGTTGTTGAAGCAGACACTGTTCAAACGCAAAAATTAAACTCCTCTTTATTTAACAGATGTGCACGAATCTATTGTGTGTTAGATACTGATAAGTGTCTGATGAGTCGTACTGAGCTGGCCCGGGTTCCTAGAACTGGGTTGATGTGCCAAAGTCTCAATCAGGTTAGGAGCGTCTGGGGAGAGGGCTCGGCGTAATAGAAGGAGGCGTAGGGGCAAGGAGGAGGATAGTTCTGGAGGCTCGAGTAATGGGGGGTGGGCTGTGCTGAGCCCCCTTCTCCTCGCTGTCTCCCCATTCCTTCACTGAGCCGGGGCCGCATGCGCAGTTCCTCTAGTCTTAGTTGTGCACCCGGATGGCGCCGAGACGCGCCCAGGCGAGGGAGCTCGCGGGTAGGGCATTCCGCGGGTACCCGCAGAGCAGGACGGCCACCCACTCCGGGGCCCCGGGGGCTCCACCCAGGGCGCTCACCCGGAGCGACCCAAGGCTACGTTTCATGCCTGGACGCACGCTGGTAACTGGGCAGGCGCTGACAACCCACGTCTGGAAAACCCGGTCCTAATTGAAGAATAAAACTTAAATACACGTGAACCAACCAGCCTCTGAACATTTCCGTGAGAAAACCCCGAAAAGCCTGTGCCAGCTGCGGTGGGGCCTCAGATTTTCAGAGCTCATGATCTGGAGCCCGGCGCCCTCCAACGCCTGGGCCCTGCAGAGCAACTGTCCCAATAGGATCCCTTTCCCGGGCTTGGAAGAAGGCTTTGTTGCAGGGATAGGAGATTCTTTTCACGTGTTCCTTGGCTTGCACAGGCATTTACTGGTCTTCTGGAGATCATATGTAACAAGAAATTTCTAAATTCAGTATTCTTTTAAATGAATTTATTCATCACAGTTCTATCAACAGACTTGAAAAATAATAGCATACACGTTGTATACCTTATGTGTAGGACATTGTATTTATCAGGTCCATCAGAGGTTCTTCATCTGGGGTACAGGGACAACTAGGGGTGGATAGGATTCAGGGAGCCCATGAAGCTCCTGAGATTGTTTCACATTTTAGGGCAAATGTGCAGTTTTTCTGAGAAGAAGTTTTGTTGTTTTAAGGATGACCAGGGTTCATAACCTTAGTTTGGTTAAGGATGCTGCTCTGAAGTCAATGCTCAGCCGGTTTATGGATTCAGAACTCTTTGCACTAGCAGTGAGGCCCCAGTGAGGGCCCGAAGCCCCCAATCTGGACCCCTGCAGGAGAGTTTGGTTCTGCAGTGAAGGTCACTAGAGCCTGGACTTGATTTTCTTTCCTCACAGGAGAGCCCCCCCAAAACTCCAAGGGGCACAGTTGTTTTTGTTTTAAAGCCATATTAGGTTCAAGTAGATTTACTTCTGCATTTCTCTTTTCTTAAATAGAAATAAGTCTCTGGTGGGTATTTTCCCCTGGGTTAGTCATGCAAACATTCTATGCCTCACTTACCACTAGTTTCAGCCTCTGGGACAGCCCTTTTGCACAGACCTGGCCCAAGACCCTTCTGCCACCCACACCTGGGAGTCTCTGGGGAACTTGAGTGTTGACTTCATTGGACTGGGATTTTCCTCAACCGATGTGCCTAGGGAGGTAAAACGTGTTCCTTTTATGGAAAAAAAGAGTATAATTTTCATGTGTGTGTGAAGAATAGAAGATTACAAAACCACCCATAACCCCCTTAATAGGTCTAACACAATAACTAATTTTGTTTTAAATCTTAGCTTTCCTAAGTGTACCTATTTTGCATTGCTGTGATTATAGCAGTACTGTATGTAATTATATGTTAAGAGCCAGTCTGTTTTACAATTGACTGTACTACTGTTCTATAACACACTATAAGCATTTTACTGTCTTTGGTAATTAGTGTTTTTAATGACTGTATGCTTTTCTTTTTTTTTGGGGAGGAAGGGAGGAAGGCAGGAAGGGAGGGAAGGAGGAAGGGAGGGAGGAAGGAAGGGATGAAGGAAGGAAGGAAGGGAAGAAGGGGGGAGGGAGGGAAGGGAAGGGAAGGAAGGAAATCAAGCAATGAGAGAGACATTCCCTACCTGGATCTAGAGGTTTACAAGTTGATTTCTTTTTTTTTTTTTTTTCTTTTTTTTGAGAGAAGGAAAGAAAAAAAAAATGAGTAAAGGAGAGGAAGAAAGAGGAAGAGAAAGAGGGAGGGTGAAAGGAAATATTGCTTTATTCTGAAAAAAAAATGGGTATTAATAATGGCCAATCAATGTTTCATTTAAACCTATGAGCAGGTGTGATGTGGTATTGACAAGAATGTATATTTTGTGTATTTGAAGTGGAGAGCTCTATAAATATTTATTAAGTTTACTTGTTCCGGATCTGAGTTCAAGTCCTTGATATCCTTATTAATTTTCTGTCTAATTGAATCTAAGTCTCTATGTATCTGGGTGTTAGGATCGTTAGCTCTTGTTGTTGCATTGATCCTTTTACCACTATATCTTTGTTGGTTAAAATCTATTTTATCCGCTACGAGAATTGCAACTCCTGCTTTTTATTTATTTATTATTTATTTTTGCTGTCCATTTGGTTGGTAAATCTTTCTCCATCCCTTTGTTTTGAGTCTTTGTGTATCCTTGCATGTGAAACAGGTCTGGATGTAACATGCCGTTGGGTTTTGGCTGTGTCTTTTAATTGGGGGATTTGGTCGATTTAAATTTAGGGTTACTGCCATTTGATGTTAACTGGCTGTTTTATCCATTCGTTGATGTAAATTCTTCTTTATGTTGGTGCTCTTTACTTTTTGGTATATTTTTAGAAAGGCTAATACTGGTTGTTTCTTTCTGTGTGTAATGCTTCTTTCAGAAGCTCTTGTAAAGCAGGCCTGGTGGTAATAAAATCTCTGCGTACTTGCTTGTTCATAAAAGATTTTATTTTTCCTTCAGTTGTGAAGCTTAGTTTGGCTGGATATGAAATTCTGGGCTGAAAGTTCTGTTCTTTAAGGATGTTGAATATTGGCCCCCACTCTCTTCTGGCTTGTAGAGTTTCTGCTGAGAGATCTGCTGTAAGTCTGATAGGCTTCCCTTTGTGGGTAATCTGACCTTTTTCTCTGGCTTCCCTTAGTATTTTCTCCTTTGTTTCAACGCTGGTGAATCTAATGATTATGTGCCTTGGGGTTGCTCTTCTTGAGGAATATCTTTGTGGTGTTCTCTGTATTACCTGGGGTTGAATATTGACCTGCTTTGCTAGTTTAGGAAAATTTTCCTGAATAATATCCTGAAGGGTATTTTCCAGCTTGGATTCATTCTCTCTGTCGCATTCAGGTACACCTATCAAACATAAATTTGGTCTTTTCACATAGTCCCACATTTCTTGGAGACTTTGCTCATTCCTTTTTATCCTTTTATCTCTACTCTTCTTGTTTTCTTTCATTAAGTTGGACTTTGACCTCTGTTATCCTTTCTTCTGCTTGAACAATTCGAGTGTTTAAACCTGTGCATACTTCTCGGAGTTCCTGTATTGTATTCTTCAGTTCCATTAATTCACTTATATTCCTCTCTAAGTTGTCTATTCTCAATAGGATTTCGTCAAACCTTTTTTCAAAGTTCTTAGTTTCTTTACGTTGGGCTACAACATGTTCTTTTAACTCACAGAAGTTTCTTATTATCCATTCCCTGAAGCGTGATTCTATTATTGGGATGCGCTCATTCTCCATCAAGCCTTGTTCCATTGTTGATGTGGAACTGTGATCATCTTTAGAGGGAGAGGCGTTCTGATTTTGAGTATTCTCAGCATTTTTACGCTGGTTTCTTCCCATCATTGTAAATCTATCCTCCTGTCTTCTTTGAAATTACCAACTTTCAGATTAGGTCTCTTGATTGGACGGCCAAGTTGTTAGTTCCCAGGGCCAGAACAGCAGCGTTAAGACTGATGGTGCTTTTCTGCCCAGGATTCTCCTGTCTGGCTTCCTTTTTGTGTCTGTAATAGGCGACTCTGCCTTCCCGGGACTCCAAACCTCGGTCAGAAGGGGAACCAGTCTCGTTTACTCTGCGCCGAGAGCTGCCGCGCCGAGGTGCCATCACAGCCGCTGTGCCGGCCTCAGGAGTCGTGCTGGGGACCCATGTGGGTCCTCCAAACCTCGATCAGAAGGGGAGCCAGCCCTGTTTACTCTGCTCCGAGAGCTGCCTTGCTGAGGTGCCGGAGAAACCACTGCGCTGGCCACAAGAGTTGCGCTGGCAACCCGTGTGACTCCTCCACTGGGGTTCTTCTGCTCCGTGAGCAACCAGAATTTGTCTAAAAGTGTGGCGTCCTCTAGTTCTCTGCGCTTCCACTGAGAGCTGCAATCCCGAGATGTTAGCAATCGGCCATCTTGGATCGTTCTCTCTTTTTCTTGAGATGGAGTCTCGCCTATTTCCCAGGCTGGAGTGCAGTGGTGCAATCTTGGCTCACTGCAACCTCTGCTTCCCAGGTTCAGGCCATTCTTCTGCCTCAGCCCCTGGAGTAGCTGAGACTACAGGCACCCACCACCACACCCAGCTAATTTTTGTATTTTTAGTAGAGATG